TGTTTTCCAGTCAGTTAGAAACGTTCCTAAGACTGTGCCAGTTGACAACAAATCAATTAACTCAACTTCTAAGCGGGATAACAATAAAACTATGTTACCTGTGGCTGGCACTCACCTTTCAGAGACTGGTTTTCTTGCCTAATGCCAAGTAATGAACATAATGTTGGTGCACCTGAGTCTCTGGAGGAAGTGATTGTGTCCATTGGTTTTGATAATGGAGATACTTTTTTGTGTTCATGAGCTGATCAGCCCCCAAACTGCATAGTTTGTTAATGAACTGGCCAGGATTTGAGCTTCTGAGCCTGACACCGGTGACTCTTCTGCACCCACTAACCAAGACGGTATATGTGGGTGTTAAGCCAGCCATACAGTGTACATTTTAGGATATTCTCAGGTCTCAAAAAAAGAAGCTGTCAGGTCTCAGGTCTCAGACAAAAAGCTGTCAGGTGTCAAGTCTCAGACAAAAAGTCGTCAGGTCTCAGGTGTCAGGTCTTAGGTGTCAGTTCTCAGGTGTCAGGTCTCAAAAGTCAGGTCTCAGGTGTCAGGTTTCAAAAGTCAGGTCTCAAGTGTCAGAACACAAGCTATCAGACAGAGAGAAGCCTCCTTCAGGTGGCACTCTTGTCAGGTCCCAGCCAATTTCCAGGTAAATTGAACCATTTCACTATTATCAAAAAGACACTATTAAAACCCGATTCTTTGATCCCCATGATCGAACAGAGAAAACCCGACTCAGGAGTGGTCAAAACTCTTCCGGAAGAGAGAGCCCTGCACAGCCCAAAGCCAGTTGCAGAATCTCTGACATTAGAAGCTAAAAATGTATCTCATATAGGTGTTATTTTGGTACTTTACACATCACACATAGTTTCGATACAAACAACTCCTTTTATGTTACTAGTTCCTCTTTTTTTCTGGTTTCCTGTTTTTATTTATATGCTTGTATAGCTCTACACTAACTTCCTGTTTTCCAGTCTGGCTGGAATTACCTAGACTGTTTTTAACCTGAATATTTGAAACAAACTTAGTAAGAAAAAACAGTCAGTGCTAAGAAAGTAATCAGTGGAAAAATTAAACATAAATTTTAAGCTGCCATAGTTTTTAAATGTAGTTGGTTTCAGAGCATATATATTAGGCTTTGCTATTTTAATCCATAGTTAATGATTAATGAGAGGTTAAGTTTTATACTGTTTTTACAGATGTGCAAAGTGCAAGCTTCTTTTTTTAAGTTTATACTGTCTTTACAGATGTGGCAAGAGACTGAAAACATGCTGCTGTTTGTACATATTTAATGTGCAAACAGCATATATAATACTATAATAAAAGTATAGTAACGGTAGTCAGTTAGTGACTGAGCAGCCCGGTGCTTTTCTCTTGATTTCTTTAATCAGGCTAAATTCATTCACCTGCACGGATTAGCTAAACGGACTTTACAAAACAAGTTTCCCTGACAGCCGAGTGCTCATCTTAACTAGGTAGTGATGGTAAATTCGATTCTTTTTACTGAATCGAGTTTTAATGAGTCACTCACCAAAGTGAATCGGATTTCTTGAGTCATTTGAGTCACTGAGTCAGTTAACCAGAGAATGCAAAAATGTATATTTTCACTCAAACTTGTTTGTTTCTCTTTTAATGTAAATCCTACTGCTAAGATGAATGATTGTAAAAGAAAACAACTATTTTATAGAGCAAAAAAAATTCTAAAGGGAACATTTATTTATTTTTTATTTTATTTTATTAATATTTTCCTTAAATGTGTCAAATATAAATTTTCTCATCTAAATGTGCACTGAGCTGTGAGCCAGGGGGCGGTAATGCGCCTTAACATTGGTTGCCAACAGTGTTGCCAACTCCTCAGTAAGGAAAATCGCTATTGGTTGTCCTAAAAGTCGCTAGAAGTCGCTAAATGACGTCATCGCCTAATTTGCATAAATGGTCATGCTAATCTAATTGTAACCTATGTTGTTGGAGAGAGAAATAACATCGTGGAAGAGACATAAAGTGAGTAAAAACGTCCTAAATGCATTTAGAGTTTATTTAGAACTACAAATTAAATTTCTTTTAGCAATTATTGTTTTTTTTAATGTCACAATTCCAACCCTGCTCCTTTACCGGGCTTGGACCGGCAAAAGTGACCCGAAATAGGCACTCTGGTGGAGTTACTTTGTGTGTGTGTTTATAAGTAGTTTTAAACCTTGTGATCCACAAAACAGCATAAGAGTAAAAGAGTAAAAGAAGAACTGACTGCGTTACAGCACCCGCTGCTTGTTGAGAGTAAAAGCGATACGCGCTTTCACGTCTTTTTTTAGCGACTTTTTTTTAAAAAAAAGTCGCTAAAAAGTGTGGGTCTGAAAACTCGCTAAATATAGCGACAATCGAAGTTCGCAAAAATCGACATACGATTGGCAGGCTAACTTAACTGGTTGCCAACCAAGAAGAAGAAGAAGCTGTGAGCCAGGAGGGAGGGGGTGAGTGAGTCCTGAGTGATTCGCTTATGCTACGATTCAGCACAGCAAGGGAGGGGGTGAGTAACTCAAATGTGCTGTTAGCATGTTAGCTGAGAGATGCTACTGTGAACCGAGGAGCTATTGTCTTGATGTGAGCTTCTACTCAGGGTTTTTCTTCCAGTTCAGAGCAGAGATGTTTTTGTTAAGAAACTGGCTGTTGTTTTTTCTCCCCACAGTTTTAATTATAAGCTTGATATATTTCTACTAATGGAATTAGTTTGCTAACAGCAACAGAGATGAGTCATTGAGTCAGTTGCGCTTGTGAATCATGATTCACGAGTCAGTAAAGTAATTATCGAGTATTGAATGATTCGTTCACGAATCGAACATCACTATAGCTAGGTCTCAGGACCTAGCTAAGGACGGTGGTTACGGATAAGCTTACAAACACGTTTAACTTACCGAAAAAGTGCAGCGGGGTGCCGGGTCCTTCTGTCGGGTAGTCCAGTATACTGAAGAACACCTCAGGCTGTCAGATTAAAACAGTCGGTCATGGTTTTGTAACGTAAACGCTGGAGCTCCTGTCTGCACCCCCGCTCTATCTCCCATTCCCGAACAGAGATACGTAAGTTTGTGCGTGACTGCAGCTTCCAGTCAAAGCTGTTACAATTACATCACACCCCAATTTCACAGCATTATGGTAGTAATTAGAATCAAACGTATGAGAAAGGAGACCCCTTGAACATAAAACAGCATCGTATGAACTACTGACGCTGTTACGTCGTCCATGTTTGCCACAGTCATTGGCTGGGACCTGACAACAGCGCCACCTGAAGGAGGCTTCTCTATGTCTGATAGCTTGTGTTCTGACACCTGAGACCTGAGAACTGACAACTGAGAGCTGACACCTGAGACCTGACGAGTTTTTGTCTGAGACCTGACACCTGACGAGTTTTTGTCTGAGACCTGACGGATGTCCTAAAATGTACACCATACTGCCATTTCTTTTTCTGAGAGCTGAGTTTCAGTACCAGCTAAAAAGGACTGTTTAAGTTTAGTTTCAAAGCCACCAAATAACAAGCTGAGTTTTGTGTTTCTAAGACTGTAGGAGATAAGGCTCGGGACTGGACGGCGCTAACGCGTTGACGCCGTGCAGTAACAACATTTCTGCCTCTTTCATGGCTCTGTCCTTTATTCTTGTTAGTGCCACATGGTCTAACAATCCAGCTTTAGGTGGCTACCAGGTGTGCAGAATACAGTTTAATCAAAAAGTTTGAAAGCTGTGGCTACAACTGTAGCTTACCTCCACCAGTGTGTGAATGTGAGAGTGAATGAATAGTGGAACTGTAAAGCGCTTTGAGGGTCTCGAAAAGCGCTATATAAATGCAATCCATTATTATGATGATGTTTCACAATATTAAAAAAATCCTAACTTCACAGACACAGTTCACAATAAACAGCTTGTGTGCTTGCTGTGATTTCTTGAGCTCATAGTAACTTTAAAATTATTTTCCAGTGTTATTCCCTTTTATCCTCTTTTGAACCTTGAATGCTGTTAGAGTCCACTTTAACCAGTATATTATAATAAATTATACATAAAATATTTGCTTCTTGCATCTCTTCTTCAGTGATAAGCACCATTGATGGATACACCAATAGGATTGTCTAGGATTGTGTTATTGTTCCTCCATTTAGGCTCAAATTGGTTTACTGGAAGGAAAACTGATGGTATAATGTAACAAAACTCATTACTCAAACTTACAGTAAATAAAAGCCTGTTTAGAAAATGTCAGAAGCAGAAAGTTAAAATATTTGTGTTAAACTGAAGGGAGAAAAGGTAAAAAGTTATCAGAAAAAAATTATACTCAAGTAAATTACAGACACCTGAAAGAATTTTAGTCAAGTACAGCAAGAAAACTATTTGTACTTTGTTACTTTCCACCGCTGATTAAGCACAGTTTCAAATAAGATAAAGAAATCAATAAGTAATAGATTTGATCCAAACACTTTTCTACTTTAATTGCACACTGACATCAATGTGTAACAGATTTCCTTTTATGGTCAACGTCGTCTCCATAATTGGTTTTAGCACCAATTGGCTGCCCCTCTGCTGGCTATCTGAAGCTCACCAACCAGGAAAAAAATGTCTCTAGTTTTACTCTTTTAGCACAGTGTGAAATATGGATACTTAATTTGATTGTTTCTGCTTGTATTTACAGTCATGTGTTGGTGTTTGTTATGTAGGTGTGTCAACTTTTTTACATTTTGTATTTTTATTATATTCTCATTGTGTGACCTCCCTATATTTATGTACAGCACTTTTGCGAACTTTATTGTTTTTAAATGTGGTTTATAACTGGATTAGATTGAAGAGGCAGAGCTAAAACTTGTTATTTAGACAGAGTATGAACTGAGGGGCTGCACCAAGTCCTAGAATAAGATAAAGAATCGTTACTTTGTCCTGTGAATCATGCCAAGATACACTAACAGAGTCTCTGATTAAAAAACATGGAATATGAAGCAGAATAAGACACCTTTAATATGTCTGTCATCTCTCAGGTAAATGCTTCAAACATCGCCTCAGCTGTCAAGGAAAACATCTTCAGACGACTTCCTGGACTTTGTCGGCGTTTGAAGAGACGCAGAGTCACTGTCCTGGTAAAAATAAACTGACACCTCAGGGAAGAACCACTCAAGTCCTTTCAAAATAAAGCATGCCACCTGAGTGTCCACTGTGATTCATTTTCAGTGTAACTTGGAGAAGTTCTGTTGGGGGCGGAGTCAGACAAGTCATTCGGGTCAGCTGTGTCAGTGCCCGCGGGGTTCCAGGTGTTCACATTTCTTTCTCCACAGCCTCTGAGTGATAATGCTTTTTAATAAATATGAGAAAACTTTTTGTAAAGAGTTTTTTTTTTGTTTAGATTAAAATATTTCACATAGCACACACAGTATGATACAGACTGAAGCTTTAACACATTGTGAAAGTTAAATATCAAGGAATGTTTGAATAAAAAAAATGCCTACTTTCTGATGTGAATGAGAATTTATAAAGAAGAAAGGAGAAGTGTGGTGAATAATATATGATAATGCAGATGTTAATCATACAAAGTAAACTGGAGCGGACCCTAAACACACTTTGATCCGTGTAATAGATCTTATAATTCGGATTCAGAGAGTTTATAAATCTGTGTTGTTCATGCAAAGCCACACACAAATCCGATTTTATTCCATCAGCATGATGTTCAAAATTTAAAGCATATCAGCACTTCACTGAAATGAAAAACAGGAATAATGATAATCAACATTGATATGATGTGAATCACTTTTGTCGATGGTTTTCATTAATGGTTTGATAATGCATCGCTATGAATTATGGAATGTAATTACTTCCTCTCATAAAGGATGCTTTAGTGTCTCCTCTGCAAAAAGAGGTAATAAAGGAAGCACTGAAGCACATTTCCTTTTAAGAGAACTTAACTAGCTCTGACTGTGGCCACAGAGACTTCAGGTGTTCAGACGGATCAGTTTCCACCTGCTGCTGACACAACTCCACGATTCCCTCAGGGATTTGAATTCCAGGTGCAGAATTTTAACCAGGGACAACCTTGGATCAAAGTTGGACAACTGCTCAGCCATTGAGTCCACTTCTCTTGGAGGACGGTGTCTTGTTCTTGGCTGGGAAAGATGAACTCTGAACACTTACACATGTGAGCGAGAAGCGGGGAGAGAAGCTGCTGCCTGCGAGTTTGCTGTAGGAGAAGTGCACTGGCAGAGAGAAGAGAGCTTGAGTTTGACCAGGTACCAAAGCAAATTTTTCATACTGGACAAATAATGTAAATATGACGGTGTATCACAAAAGGTTGATATCAAACTGATCACTTGACCTATATTATGTTACTTGCTCTTCGAGTGAATGAACAAATGGCGAAATGAAAAGCCGAACAACAATGCTGTTTTTTTTAGAGAGGCTTAGCTTACATGTGTGTTTATTTCATATTTTCAGTTATTACCTTACACAGCTAAATAAAGCACTCTAAATCGGTTTTAGTTATGTACTGATGAACATAACAATGGGCATAAGGGGCTTCTTTCAAAGAAAAGACTCTGGTAAATGTTATTTTACCTTATGCTTTGAATGCTGTTCAATATGCAAAACAAGACGAATTTCAATACACAGCAGTATATTCACAGTTGAAACCAGATATTTACATACACTTTAGGGAAAAAACAAGAACATTTATTTTTACTGTTAAACATCCATTCAGAGTAAACTTTTAGATAAATAAATATTAAAATATTAAAATATCTTTTGAATTAGTTAAATGTCAGAGTAAAGAGAGAGAGAGCTGTCTATTTTTTATCACTTTTAATCAAATTTCGGAGTATATATACACTAAGTTTATTGTGTCTTTAATTAATAAGAAAACTCTAGACGATTCCATTCTGAGCTGAAGAAGCTTCTGATAGGTTAGTAGAGTCCATGTGAGTAAATTGGTGGCACAGCTGTGGATGCATATAAGGCAAAACACAGAGCCTGTTTCTGTTGAATGGGAAAATCAAGAGATGTCAACCAAAACACCAGGAAAAGAATTGTGGAGCTCCATAAGTGTGGCTCAGATTTGAATACAATTTGGTGCCATTTGCAATTAAGAAATACAGATAATTTCTCTCTTTACTCTTAAAGTTAACAAATATGTTTTTTATATTTATCAATCTAAAAAATAAACATTTAGTCTGATTTGATGTTACAATTAAAAAAGTGTTTGTGTTTTTATCTGAAGAGTCATTAAATATCTGGTTTCAACTGTATATTTGATGATGTTGGTGTTTGGCTTGATTGTCAGCACAAAGAGGGAGAGAGAGGACAGAGAGGGGAGAGAGGAGAATGATGACAGAACAGAGATGGAACAAGAGCAGGTGAGACAGACATGTTAGTCAAATGGTTGTTTGCCAAAACTCATCAGAACATGTATCTAGTACCTAGTGTATCTTTTTAGGTTTGTTATTTTTCAAATTCTATATTTATTAAGTTATGCAGGCTTGTTTGCATAACAAGGCTAAATAGTTATATAAACTTTTCTGAATCTAAATAGTGTACTTTGGTAGAATTAAAAAATAAGTGTAGTGCAGGTCTATGATGATTTTCGGTGTTTTGAGTCTGGTTCTGTATTGGTTAAGTCCTAAAGTAGTCCTGATTTTGAACTATTGTAGTACCTGTTTTAATTCCCAATCAGTTCTGGGTCTGGTTGAATTGGAGTTTAGTCCCTGTGTCCCTGCCTTGCTGCTTAATTAAAAAACTAGTTTAAGGTGTCCTGCATATGTGATATATATTTTTTCCTATATGAAGTCATTCTTTTTTAAACAAAACTCAAAACAGAGCCTTAATCTTTCAGTCATTTCTAACACCCCCCAATCCCACATGGATACTACCCTTTAGGGCTAAGCCCGGGTGTATAAAATGTCTGGCTCCGCCTCTTCTTACCACAACCAGCCTACCAACCTGATGGCGTCACGTGATAGAAGCTGATGCTAAACATGTTTTTAAAAGGAACCCCAACTAATATGACAAGTTACTCTAAATATGTCACAAATTATCTCCACTACATAAAAACATACTTGAAAATAACTACAATTTTTTTGTTATTCATTAAATCTTTGTTGTTTAAAACTATTTTGGAGCCGTGGGAGCGGCCATGTTTTTTTGCACACAATGCATTCTGGGACGATGACATGTATTGGTTGTTTTCAGTATAGGTGCTTTCGTTCAGCTAACCTGTTTTGTTTTTTAAAGTGTAGCAACGGTATTAATTAACTTGCCTATTAGTGACCTGGTTACAACTTGGTAGACCAGCACTATATATCCGGTCTTTGACTCTGACGTCAGAAGCGGTTTTTGATATGGCGACATGGGCGGGCCCAGGGTGGCATCGTGGTAGGGGGGCGGAATCTCGGGCATCGGCAAAAAAATAAAGAAAAATTGCTCTGTGGTGGACCGCTGGATGGCTCCACTAACGCCCAGTTCTCAGGAAGTGTTATTGCTGTGTTTTTGGAGGGAAAAGTGCAGTTGTGTGGTGATGAGTAATAAATGAGGAGTGTTAATCGAGAGCTCTCATGTTGTCTGTGTTTACCTCCACAGCTCGTACTCATGCTGCCCCGACGTCATGCCAGCGCATTTTGGGACTGTCATAGGCACCGATCGGTTTTCTATCGCCCATTTGCTGGGAGTAAGGGCGCCCTCTATTTGCGAGGCGCGCCTGCTGCTTGCAGCCGGGGCGGCGGGGGATTCTCTGGCTGGCTGGAGCAGCATCTAATAACCAACTCGCAAAATAAAACAAAATAAAAAAAACCCCAACAAACACGAAAACACCAGACATAATGATACAGACTTATAATTTGCACCGATGTTTTTTCAAAATTCTGTATGTGATAAGAGGCTCCAGTTACAGCAGTGCAAGTAAACAAACAATATATATAAGGAGAGTAAGAAAATAAATATACACTTTAGGACCAGGGGTAAAGGGATCAATAACAATTTAAAATTTATATTTTACAGTTTGATGATTTAAAGTTTCACACACAACCTGTCGAAAGGGGAGGGGGGCCCTGCTGCTTCCAAATAGAGCACATTTCATTTATAATGTTGTAAATCCAAGTCCATTATCTATTCATGATTTGAACCCTGGGTTGTGGGAAATCCCAGAAATAAACGCTAGACAAAGCGAATCTGTGGACTAACGTGTAGGTTTATTAGGTTATGTTGTGGTGATCCTCATGTTAGGGAATGGGTGTTCATACTGGAGTGCAACATTAAAACCAATGGAAGATGGACAAGAAAAGTTCAAAGCCATCAGGGGTTCAGTTTCAGTCATCCTTCCCTGTTACTTCATCCTACTCTCTTGCATGTTAAGCACTTTGGTACACCACTGGGTTTTAAATGTGCTATATAAATAAAGTTTGTTGTTGTTCTTGTTGTAATATATACAGATCACTCAGTTCTAAATATCAAGGATTAACAGAGGTGATTATAAATAAATATCAAGAAAATTGACAAGAATATTACAGAGTAGAAAAGAGCATGTGCATAAGTAGAGGGAGTGTTTGCCCAGAGCGCCAAACAGGCTAGGACTGCCACTGTGTGATGTTATTAGCCATGTCTGGGCCCAAACTCCGCTGCAGGTCCCAAAATCAAATGATCACTACAGCATTAATGAGAGTTGAAAAACTGTCTAAATT